CAGGCCTGTCAGACCACAAGCTTATGGTCTTTCCACTATACTGCCTGCCCATCTTTACAGCACTTTGCCTTTTACAAGGTGCTTTTCATCTACGTGGCCTCACTGAATCCTCATACCTCTTACAACCCTAGAAGGTGGATATTGTCAGTAAGGTGAAGAGACTCGGCCAAGATGGAATAGTTTGTAATGGCAGAGAGAGGGCCAAAACCTGGCGCTCTCTCCCTCTACAAGGAGAGGAGAGCAAAGAGGCAGGAGGGCCTCACAGCAGCTTTCTGTGTTTCAGACACATCATGGGCTTTGTGAGCCGGAGCCAGGAACGCCGGCTGCTGAAGAAGACCATCTCAGGCACCTTTCTGCTGCGCTTCAGTGAAACATCAGAAGGGGGCATTACCTGCTCCTGGGTGGAACACCAGGATGATGGTCAGCTGCTTTGCCCTGATGGTCCCACAGCCTGTCCCTTCTCCCCTCAATCAGCCCTTGGTTTCTCTGGCTGTGTCCTGAATCTCTCAGCAGGTTTGGGGTTGGACAGCCAGGGTGGGGAGCTCCCAGGCCCAACCTTTTCCTTCAGGCCTGCCCATTCCTACATCCATTCTACAGATAAGGTGCTCATCTACTCTGTGCAGCCCTTCACCAAGGAAGTGCTACAGTCTCTCCCACTAACCAAAATCATTCGCGACTACCAGCTACTCACTGAGGAGAACATACCCGAGAACCCACTGCGCTTCCTCTACCCCCGAATACCCCGGGATGAAGCTTTTGGGTGTTACTACCAGGAGAAAGGTGAGAATCACTGACATATGTCACTGGAATATTGTAGGGATTCTCAGGCATCTACAAATTCTACTCGTTTCTTGCAGACATGGAAAAACTGATATCCAGAGAAGTCAAAGGGTTTGTCCCGGGGACACTGTTAGTTAGTAGGGAGATATGACTCTCAAGACTGTTTGCAATAGGGGTCCTTAGGCTATGTGTCCAATCCACTGACCTCCCTGGCTTCCTGTGTATGTCCCCCACAGTTAATCTCCAAGAACGGAGGAAGTACCTGAAACATAGGCTCATTGTGGTCTCAAACAGGTGAGATATGAACTTTTGGCCCATCGTCCGTAACATTTTTCGGCTGATAGAGTGACCCAAACCTGCTCAGTTTGCCTCTCTGACCCCTCCTACTGACCCACACTCTCCAGCCTCTAGATTTTTTCTTGTTCTGCTTGGCCTCTTTCCTCTCTGTTTTTCTGCTGCTATCCTTAGATTGTTTCCACAGGGCTTCCCTGATAATAATAGTCATAATCACTGATGTTAATGGGCTTCTACTTGAAGCATGGTACTAGATTTTTTTTTATAAGAACAGTTTTCTCATTTTAATTTTTATGAGTACCCATCCAAGCAGGTAATGACAGCCACATTTAATGAAAGTGTATTAAATGCCAGGTACTAGGCTAAATGTTTTGTGTTTAAACGTTTCTTATTTATTGAATCTTCATAATAGTCCTGTGAGGTAGACAGGGGTATTACTCTTTTCAGCCAAGAAACAGGTTTAGTGTGGTAGAGTGGTATGACTAAGGTACATGGCTAATAAATGATTAGGTCTGTCAGATTCCAAAGTCCTGCTTATTAACGATCCAACTTCCTCTCAAGTGTTAGAGGTGGTATTGTTCCCATTTTACAGATGATAAATCTGCAGCTCAGAGAGGTGAAGATCTACCCATCTAATAAATGATAGGATCCTCAAACTCTGGCAAGCCTGACTCCAAAGCCTGTGCTCTTAAGCCCTCTGCTCTGTTGGACTAGACTTCTTAGACTAGAGACAGTCTCTGCTTGCTCTGCCATTCCCCACTTCACCTAAGTAATCAAGCCCTACCCTTTTGTCTGTGCTGTGGTATCCAGACAGGTGGATGAGCTGCAACAGCCACTGGAGCTGAAACTGGAGCCAGAAGTGGAGTCACTGGAGCTAGAGCCAGGATTGGCCCCAGTGCCACAGCTAGAGCCATGCCTGGAGTTAGAGCCGCTGCTGGCAGCAGGGCTGGATCTGGGTCCAACCCTGGAGCCCATGCCAGAGTCTACTCTGGAGCCCATGCTAGAGCCCACACTAGATGTGGTATCACAAAGAGTGTCAGAGCCAAACGTGGGACCAGAACTGAAGCTGGAGCCTATTCCAGACCCTGTATCACAGGCAGTGACAGAGCCAGAGCCGGATTTGCCCCATGATCTGAGACACTTGAACACCGAGGAAATGGAAAGTAAGTGATGAGATGGGGTTGGGGAAGAGGGGACACATTCCCTTTACCAACTGCCCTCCCTTACCCAGTATAGAAAAGGCTAAGCTCTAAGCTTCTCACTGGAGGGACACTCATTTGTGATTCTTTTTATTAGGAAATGTACCTGCCTCTCCCTTACCCCACCTAAGTGCCCTCTCAGGCCCTACCAGGTCTGTGCAGCCATCCTCCCTCATATTCCCTGCTGGGTCAGGAACTCCTTACCTAAGAGCAGGGCCTGACTTCTTTCTCTGGACTACCTAGTTTTCAGGAACAGTATGAAGATCGAAGAAATCATGCCAAATGGTGACCCGCTGTTGGCTGGCCAGAACACTGTGGATGAGGCTTACGTCTTCCACCCCAGCCATTTCTACACGGATGGGCCCTTAATTCCTTCTGACTACTAGGAATTACATTTCCTCTGTTCTTCCTGTATCTTTTGTCCCTCCTACCCCTCACATCATGCTGTGCTCTCCAAGGATGGAAAATCAAGCATGTACCCATTCTTAGCTGGTTAAGTTAACCCTGGGTTTTGGAGTGGGAAGTAAAAGCATACTGTGGGTAAGGAAGGGGCACTAATGAGTCAGAATAGATGTTGGCCATAGCTCTAACTAGGATCTTTGAGGCCATCTGCTGTTTTGGGAGGTATAGGGGTTCTGAGGGTAGGGCAGGACATTTAGGAGGTACTTGGAGGGCAAGACACTTGGAATGGCTGCTTTCCAGTATGGAAGGATGTCAACATTTGAATAGTTGGTAAGACTAATGTGGTGGTGCCCACTAGCATTGGCCATCAGTAGGGAACAGAGACATGTGATAGGATTCCATTTCTCTCTTCTGGTTTCCTCATGTCTAAAATAAACTTTTCCTTCCTTCTTCCTTTCATTCCTGATTTAAGTCCTAAATTCCTTTGTTTCCTGCAGAGACTGAGACCTTTCTGCATTAGCCCACCATGTGAAGAAAGGAATAGGAGGTAGACCTCATTTTCTTACTGGTCTCCTCTCCTGTACCCCCAAGCTGGCCCCACTCATTCCTCCCCTTAAAATGATCCTGCCAATCTAATATGCCTGTGAAGCTTTGCACAATCATTTTACTCTGTCCAGTCTCCACTTCCTCACTGCTTAGGAGACAAATCACTTTTGGAGGCCAGGGATGGTAGAGTTGCTGGGAATTTAGGAATCACTTTTTATAGTATTACATAGAGTCTGGTATTTTTACAGAGGAAGAGATGCCCTGGATATTTAGATATTTAGAAATATCTTAGATATTTCTCTATTAAGATAACCATCCCTTCTTTTTGTACAATATATTGTTGATCTGAAAGGAGAGTTTCTATTCCTTGGGTGTAGACCTGGGCAAAAACTGGGTTCCTGGGACTTAGAACCTTGAATATTTATCACGGGGCTCCAGACAACCTCACACCATAGTTATTCCCAGGGAACCCCATTGCTCTAAAATGTGTTTCCAGAATAACTTGAGATGTAATGAAAGTGAGGCCCTGTACATGTGGCTGTTTTCTGGCTTATATTTTAGAGGAATAGTCTTGTTTAGAAAGAGGCCCTTCTGAGCAGAAGTGGCTAATAAATTTTGTGCTGACTTGGAAGTGTTTTGTCTCTGAGCTTCTTTTCTTTTCTGCTCACAAAGACTGATGTCCTTGGAGACACCAGCAGGCCATGTAGGACCAAGATCAGCAAATCATGGCCTGTCTTCCACCCACCCCAGTAGGCCCCTTCTGTCATGTTTTACTTCTTACCTCCATGTTTAGAACAGCCTTTCCTGTCCCTTAGATTCTTCCAGGGGGGCTGTGAGCTATATATGAGTTGGGGGGTGTGGTGAGCAGTTCTATAACTAGCCCATTGTCACTTAGCTGATTGGCGACAAAGCCAATATATAAACCTGGGTCTGTTTGACTCCAAAACCCATACCTTTTTAACGTTGTGACTATGGAGAAAAGGAAGAGAAGTGATCACATTAACCCCTTCCCCTTCTCTTTGTTTCAAAAGTAGTTTATCTCCCCTTGGGTAGTCAAACCCTCTGATGGGGTCCACAGATGTCCATAAAGGGAGAATCCCATTAATTTAGGGGATTTACTGCCATCTTCCCGGAATGCCTTTCCTGGTCAAAGCAGCTCTGACTTTTGATCCTGCAGTGATTGGGACTCCTGTCTTTGGCCAAATATATTCTTGGCCAAGAAAGTAAGGAGTAATAAGGTCAGGCAGTAAAAGGAGCCACATTTAGGGGCCCAACTTCCTAATTTCAATCCTTTGTAATCCCATTCAGCTTGTTTAGCGATACAGGGATCCAGACCAAAAAGATCCTAGTTACTCTATCTATACACTAGGGGCGCATGAGGAAATATCCCTCTCCACTGGAGCCCTGCAGAGTAGAAGGATGCAAATTGTAGTCCTTTAGCCCTATATTGCTTTTTTTCCAACCAAGCCTAGAAATCATTCACATAAATAAGTCTTTATTGAAAAAAGTACATAATTCAGTATAAATATAATAAATAATCCTCCCCAAACTGCTGCCATGAGGATAAATAATCTCAAGTTTTCCCTTTCTAGTTAATAAATACTCAACTTTGTCCTAGGTCAGTATCATAAATTAGTCAGTGTTGGTAATTTTTCAACATTTGCAAGTTCCATTAGAATTAATGGACTAATTCACTTGTTGGCTCACAGGTTCCTGGGCTGATTCATTTTTGCACTGCTGAGCCATGGAGATCTGGGTGCCATGCTTAAGCTTTTGGCTTTAGGGGCTCAGGGTTGCTGCTCCATGGGCAAAGACCCTGGCAGCTACAGCCACAAAGGCCTGAAGGCTGCGGAGGATCTTGAAGCGGAGAAGGAGGCGTTGCCATGGCTGGTTAGGACTGGGGTTTGGAGTTTGCTCAGTCTCCCAGTGTTGACCGTCAGGCTGAAAGGACATAGGACACAATCAGAGAGACTCTAGAACCTTTACCCTCAAGTTCCTGTCTCTGATACCTGCAAGCCCCCATTCTTCAGGCCCCTTGTTCATACCTGTAAGAGTTGCCTAAGGCCCAGGAGGGAGGCGTGAAGCTGGCCCACTGGGCTATCAGGGAGTAGAGAGGGCTCCCCTGTGAAAATGTCTGAGTCCAGCAGCTTCTCATAAAAAACCAGGCCCTGGTGGATCCTTTGTAAGCAGAACTGGGGGAAAAGAAAGCAGTGAGAGCTAACCAATACCCTCCTATTCCGTTACCAAAGACCCACCCGGTTCTTTGCCATTCTTAGACACTGCCATGGTCTGAATGTTTGTGTCCTCACAAAATCCATATGTTGAATCCTAACCCTCCAATGTGATTGTATCAGGAGGTAGGGCCTTCACAAGGTGATAATGTCATGAGGGTGGAGCCTTCAGGAACTTCTAAAAGAGACCCATGAACTCCCAAGGCCCTTCTGCCATATAAAGGTAACAATGAGAAGTCTGCAACCTGGAAGAGGACCCTCACCTGACCATACTGACACCCTGATATCCAACTTCCAGACTCCAGAACAGTGAGAACTAAATTTTTGATGTTTATAAGTCACCCAATCTATGGTATTTGTTATAACAAGCCAAATGAACAAGGACAGATACAACTTTTACTAATTCTCCATGGTACCCAACAATGTCCCAGTCCCTCTTCCTTGTAGTCCAGCCTCATCTTACTACCTGACTGTTGTCTCTGAGTCCTTGGGGATCACAGCCATCCCCACACTGGATGTGGGGGACGTCATCTGTAGTCTCGTCATCTCCCTGTTCTCTTGGTAGGTCCTGGAATGGAGGAAGGGGTGGGAAGAGTGAAGAGATAAGAGAAGCATTTTCAAACTCCACCAGTACCCCAGGCCCATGACTCTCCTAGGAACCCCACTCCCTGTCCTCTTTAAGGTCCACTCTTTGAGGACCTTCAACCCTCCAGCTTCTATCCAAAGCCAGAGTCTTCCTCTGCAGCCTTGGAGACCTTGGACAGGCTCCCGTTTGGTGCCAGAGCCTGCTACTTACCACATGTCCCGTTGGAGGATGTGCACTCCAGGCCAGCGTGCAGAGCTTCTGTGAGAGCTGCTGGCCCAGAGCCCAGGCAGGGCTACTGCCCTCAGGCACAGCCCGGGTCTGAGCAGTCCAGGGCAGCGGTGGCAGCAGGAGCAGCAGCAGCAGCAGCATAGCCCTGCTGCTCCCCAGCATCTTGTCGCCTGCTTCTCAAATCTGGCTGGCTCTGTGCCTCACACCAGTCCCTGTGGAATCTCTGCCCACTTCCCTTTGCTCTGAGCCTGATGCTCTGCGTTCTTTGTTGCTTCCTTCTGTTGTTCACTGAGTTTCTGAGCTGCTTCCTGCTGTTTTTCTCCCCTTGTCTGAGTCTCTTTTTAAGGTCCTTGCATTGTAAGGCCCGCCCTTTATACTAGCAGGTGACTCACAGCAGGTGGGATTCCCCTCCCTGCATCATCCCCCTCTGTGGAGAGCCCAGGTATGCAGCCTCAGTTCCAAGGGAAATGAGACGTGTGGTTGCTGTGGCTGGAGGCCTGGGATGGGGCATATGTGTAATGCTCTCCATGAATCAAAATGGCTGTAGAGGGGGTGGGGGTGGGAGGAATGAATATTTAAATGAATCAAGTCTCAAGTTTCTTCCTGTTCAATCTTTCCCTCACTTTTTGGCCTCTCAAAGCTTAATTCCCTCCACACCCCCACCTAACTTCCTTACCTTTTCCTGCCTGAGGAAAAGCCAAAATGCAACCATTCATTTTATTTCCCAATAGGATAGCGAGATTCCATTCAGTTTGGAATGCAGTTTGGTTCCCCTCTGGGGCCCTCTATCTAAGAACAAGGGGGCTTCTTTTTTCTCCCTTGGCAACAATTATTTTCACTGGGAAAGAATGGATGTGAAGGTACTTTGTGAACTAGGAAGCCATATAATGCCGTATAAAGTATTACTGCTCCCACTTCAGGCCTCACTGTGGAGGCTAGAAGGGTTCTTGGAGGGAGAGATTTGCTGCTAAGAATCATCTAATTCCTCAACCTTAGTGGCCCAACATTTCATAGGATCTGTGGGGTTCAGGTGGTGGTTCTTTTGGGATACAAGTTTAAGCAAGGACTACAAGTCAAATTTAGATATTCCAGCACCCAGTCCCTACCCCACAGCTAGGAAGTCCAGGAATTCTGGGGAGTTGAAGGTGCACTGTGTCAATGACCCTGACCAGTCCTTCAGCCTGTTGCATCCATGGGTAAAATCCGCTGACACTGATTTCATCACTCTCCCTGATGCAACATTCAGTGAGACAGCTGAGACTGTGAGGTTGGGCGTGGGAGTGGGGGGTGGTCCAAATCTGGGACTGCCCCAACCCCAGTGGAGGGTCCCAGAACAATTTGGACGTCAGAATGAGGACATGGCTGACCACACAGATGGTCCTTAAAGCCTTCCCAAGAGGTTGACTCTTCTTCTCTGAGAAACTTACCCTTGATAGAGGCCTCCCTTCCCTTAGAACTATTCAAAACTTCCCAGTGAAACTTTTGATTCAAATATTATGACTCTGTGGTAAATCTACCTTTGGATAAAATGTTTCCAGCATCGGATAGGTTATCTCAGTCTGAGTGGGAAATGGTTTGCCTCTCTCTACATATGGTGTACACAAATGGAAGAAGGAAGGAGGGGAGCTCACCTCACTTGTGTTTAATGTCTGTTGTGCTTTTCCATCTCTGGCCTCATTCTGGGGGCCTAAAGGATAGGAGATGAAAGGTAAAAGAAGAAGGAAGTGGAGTGTTGGGGGATGGGATGAGAGAGACAAGGGTGAGTTGGAGGCACGGGGCTCTGCTGCTTTGTTTCACTTCCTGGTGCTTCGAGAGTTGGGTAGGAAGCAAGGTTGGTGGGGTGATTGTGGGACTGTTCTGTGGCAGGAACTACTTCCAGGACTAGATCTGACCTGGAACTGCAGTGACCCCTTGACGTCAACAGGGCCTCAACCGTTATGCAAATCACATTCACCAGACACTCCTAAGCAGGCCTTTCCAGTTGGATGCCCAGACTCCAAATCCAGTTGAAATTTCCTTACATAGTTAATAATGATGGCTAACATATATCCAACTCTCACTTTATGCCAAGTACTTGGTCTAAGCACTTTTTATGTATTAACCCATTTAATTCTCACAACAACCCAGTGAGTTGGTTGTGAGTTGTTATTATCCCTATACTACAGATGAGGAAACAGAGCTAAGTAATTTACCCAAGATCACAGAACTGAATGGCCAGAATTCCAGGACAGAAAATCTGGCTTCAGATCCTGCTTTCTCTCTCTCTTTCTCTATTTTATTTTATTTTTTAAATGTTTATTTTTTAGAGGGGGGAGAGGGGCAGAGAGAGAGGGAGACACAGAAGCTGAAGCAGACCCCAGGCTCAGAGCTGTCAGCACAGAGCCAAACACGGGGCTTGAACTTACCAACAGGGAGATCATGACCTGAGTGGAAGCCTGATGACACTTAACCAACTGAGCCACCCAGGCACCCCCAGATCCTGCTTTCTCAATCATTCCATTATATTGGACAGGACACAAACTATCTTTATAAAGTAGCTGATTTAGCCCAGGTATCTCAGGCCCAGTAATTCTCATAGGTCTGTGAAGTCTTTCTCAACCTCAATATGGAAATTTCTCAAAGTTTACAAACTGTCTAGTCTCTCAGCACCCATCTTTTCCCAGGATTTTAAATCTAGGGACCTGTGAAGTCAGATCAATTTGAGAGACCCACTGAGTTACGGTGTTTTTCTCTCCGTCTATGACTCCAGGACCCCTGTGAGTCCTGTAAGTCTAAATTCTGGAGTCCTTTTATTACAGTGTTATTCAGCAGGCTTTATTGAGACAGAGAGAAATGCTTTAAAACTGTATCCTCCGTGAGAAATTCCTTCCATCAAAAAGGCCCTCTGTGTGGCCGTTAGAAACTGAGCTAAATTGCCCTAGTGACATCTCGCAACCTGGCCCCATTCCAAAACAATTAGACCCCAAGAATCGCTAAAAATAACTGTTGACGCTAAATCTGTAAGAGTTTGGGGGTAAGCAAATGTCCCAATTTGCCGTGCTCATCCCCTTCTGAGGGATAACGTCGAGCTTCAAGAGCTAGGGGAATTTGATAGCTGAGGGGTCTCGCTCCACGGGACTATTACCGGAGCATCTGGGGAGTAGATAATCACAGATGGGAGTTTCAGATGGATGCCTACAGAATCGTAGAAGAGGCAGCTAGTTGGGCCGTGTTTGGAACGTGGCTCCCGCTTCCTTTTTTCTCTCCCATGCCTGGAAATGATAGGAAATGCCGGCGAGTTTCGGGGGCAACAGGGTGAGAGGTGGCGGAGTGGCTCACAAGAGCACCGCAGGTGGAGGGGGTGGACTGGAATAGGCTGGGAATACCCAGCAATCGATTCCCAGTGCTTTACCTTGGGCATCTCTTATTCTAGAACTTCTAAAGTTACAGGGAGCATTAAAGTTCGGTTTCCAAGCGACTTCTCCAGTTTTGTTCAAAGAAAGCTTAAAAGAGAAGGAGTTACGTTTCACGACACCAAATGCGGCCAGGATCTGACACCGTTTGTCCCCATTGGCGGCCCGTAACCTTATTTTTGCCCAATACCCGCGTCACGCGTCTTCTCGCGGAGCCGTCTGTACCTGGCTCCTTCTGATTGGCTTAGGTGAGCTCCAAACCCTTCCTGATTGGAAGCTCTGACTGGGAGCCCGCCGTAGTGTTTGGTTGAGCTTCAGGCGCGGGGGAGAATTGGGGAAACTGGAATTTCCCGCGGAGCTGACGGCGCTTGCTCTCCCCCTACTCGTTTTAATTCCACGCGCTCCAAAATATCCGCCATGGAGAAATCTTGGTAATGACCCAATCCCCATAAGCATCCCAAGAACACATCTGACCCCTGCCCTAAGCCCTCCCCTCCCCTCCCCTCCACCGGGGGAGAATTCTGGGTAATTGATTTCTCTGGTTCCCCTAGAGAATTGTGGGTAACTAGCCATTTTCATCATGTCCCCCCCATTCCCGCCCCAATTGTGGGTAGCTGGACATTATTATTTTTCCCTGGAGAATCCTGGGTAACATTGCAGGGGATTCTGGGAAACGACTTCTTATTCTCACCTCCCACTTCCCCTCCCCCCCATCCTTAATTTTGGGAAACAAGCATCTTAGCCCCTTTCCTTAACTCCTGTCCCACAGTCGCTGCTGTTTTCACTGATGGTTCTGGGGTGAACCAGGCAAGTGGGCAGGCCTGAAGGGAGATGAAAAGGAAGTCATGTTTTAGGTTAGATAGTGGGGTGGTGGGGAGTACAGAGGGCCTAGAGGAGAAAAAGGGACAACACTTCCGCCTCTACCCTACTGCGCATCCCCTTCCTGCCTGCTTCATCTCCTGCCTGGCATTCTCACATCTCCCTGCCTCATTTCCCTTCTGCACATATAATCTAGAACACACTAAATACAAGTACCTGGGCCTACCTATCACTGACTCAGCTACCTCTTTCCCTTTGCAGGCCAGGATGTCCATTCTAGGCCCACTGGTGCTATCCTGCTGAAGGCTGGGTCAGACATCTTAAAGGGCCGTTGCAAGGGAGGGTGTGACACGGGTCTAATCTGCCATCGTCGTCATGAACTTCGAGGGTCTGGACCCTGGACTGGCAGAGTATGCCCCGGCCATGCATTCTGCCCTGGACCCTGTCCTGGATGCCCACCTGAACCCAAGTCTGCTACAGAATGTGGAGCTGGATCCGGAGGGGGTGGCCTTGGAGGCTCTTCCTGTCCAGGAGTCAGTGCACATAATGGAAGGTGTCTACTCTGAATTGCACAGTGTGGTGGCTGAAGTGGGTGTGCCTGTCTCCGTCTCCCACTTTGACTTGCACGAGGAGATGCTGTGGGTGGGAAGCCATGGGGTAAGAACTGTACCCCTTTGTAAGGGCTGAAAGGAGATGTTGGAGGTATTTTATCTGGTTTTAGCCCAAGGGCAGCTGCTTTACTGGGAGCCAGAACTGAGTTGAGGTGGTGAGAGTTAGTTAGGTCTCTGTCAAATCAGTAGGAAGGGAGTGGAAGGAGCCATATGATCCAGGAAGAAGTTACATACGTGTTCTTTTTCAGAAGTCATCCCATTTCTACCACAATTTGCCCATTCTAAGCTTTGATTAACCTTGATAACTGTACCCATCAGTTAGTCTGTAGTGTCCAAATCCAATCTCTAATGCCCTTCTTCTGTTTCCATTTTTATAATTATAGAATGTTTAACACATGTTTCTGCATATCTTACATGGAATCATTCTGTCTTCTTTGGCTGATTTTAATCTCTCTGAGAGCAGTTATCAGTGTTAACTCTTTTTTATTTTTATTTTAGAGTGCATAAGCAGGTGAGAGGGGCAGAGGGAGAGAGATCTTAAGCAGTCTCCATGCTCAGCACAGAGCCCGACATGGGCTTGATCCCACAACCCTGGGATCATGACCTGAGCCAAAATCAAGAGTCAGATGCTCAACTGATTGAGCCATTCAAGCACCCCAATATTAATGTTTTTTAATGTGTATCTATATCACCAGTATGCTAGAGAGCTCAAAGTTTTGTAAGAAATAATATTCTTGGTTTACTAATTTTCCTTCCATAGGGCATGAATTGTGCTTTTTTCATTAGAAAGAATGTACTTTTTTGATAATACATTCATTTCAGTAGGTAGGGTCTACTGCTATGGTAGACCCAAGGAATAAAACTGAATAAAACATAATTCTTGCCCTCAAGGAATTTACAGAACAATGAGAAAAAAAAAAAATATATATATATATGTGTGTATGATATATATATATATATATATATATATATATATATATATATATATATATATATATATATATATATATATATATACATACATACATACATACAGATAACTTCATGGTACTTTAGAAGAAACTAAACTGTTTTACTTATTAATTATGAATTTAAGATATAAACTAATTATGAGTTTAAGATATAAACTACTAAGTGCCAGTGTAAAAATATTTACTGGGTGCAGAAGGGTTAGAGGCCCTCCAGAAGGAAGTGACACCTGAAGTGAGTTCTTCAGAAGTGAGTAGGAGTCAGGTGAAGAAGAGGGGAAAATGCTGTCTTGGCAAAAGCAACAGGATAAAGATTTCCAAGATACCATACAGTGTGATTACAGATTACAGGAACTACAAGCAATTAGGGTTTACTGCTCTGGAAGATAAGTCTGAAAAGTTAGACATTACTTCATTCAACTAGTGTTTTTTGAGCACCTGTTAGGTGCCACGCCTTGCTCTATGGTCTAGATTGGGAATAAGCATTTAAAAAGGCAACAAAAATACATTTATAATATATTAGGTGTTTAGTATCCTTAAGGAAAATAAAGTGGAGTAAGGGGGTTAAGGTAATGAAGGGTGGGAGGTGTTGCTGTTTTAGATAATTGGTCAGGGAAAGTCTCTCTGATAATGTCACACTTGAGTAGAGACTTGGATACAGACCAGGATGTCCATTCTAAGTCGTCTAGAAGGGAGAGAGGAAGCCATGCAGATATCTGGGAGGAGAACATTCTAGAAAACCTCATATGCTATGTTAAAAGAGCTTGGACTTGATCTTTCACACCACTGACAGTTTTTATCCAGAATGATAAGGTTAGGTTTGCATCTTAGAATGCTGAAGTAGCAGTATAGAGTTTCATTTAAGGGGGAACATGGCAGGACTCAGTGGGATCGGCTTAGATTGTAGGTTATTGTAGCAGTTCACATAGAATATGAAAGCCTGAATGAAGCACTGTAGACATGTAGAACAGATTTGGGAAATACTTAGGAAGTAAACAAGACAAGTTACTACCAGTGACTTAGTCCTTTGGATAGATCATGGTTCCATAAAGAATACAGTTAGAAGAATAATTGAAACGAGGTAAAATGACAAATTTAATTTAGAATGTAATGAGTTTGGGTTTTTGTGGAATATCTAAAGAGAGATGTTTAGTAGATATTTGGATATGTAAGTGTGAAGCTTGAGGCAGTGGTCTGGGCTAGAAGAGGGAGTTAGGATCCATCAGTTAGAAGACTGATGGTTAAAACCTTGAGAGTGGATGAGATTACCTAAAATGACTAGTGAGAAAATAGTGGACTGGGAATAGCCATGGTTCAAGAGTGGTCTGAAGGGAAGCACATAAAGAGGAGGTATGAGGTAAGAGTCAGGAGCGAAACCAGTAGTGAATGATGTCATAGGAGCCAAGAGGGGAATGAGTTTCACATTCTCTCTATTCCAGCCTGTGACCCACAGTGCACATTTCCCAGATGGTGGCTGGTAGAGATTAAGACTTGAATATGGAACATAAGAAAACCAGCTGGCCAGTGGAGGATCGGACTCACATCCCTGACCCGAAACTGTTCTAACCAACTGAACCATTATCTATTCAGCAAGGTCATTGTGAGGGCAAAATGAGGTAGAGTTTACAAAAGTACTTTGTGAAGCATTAAACATAAGATAGTATTTATTATCAATGTCTTTGTCACTTAGATTGGTCCCTAGCCGTATGCCTTAGTTGCTGTTAGCCAGAAAGGCCAAGCAAGAATGGAGAAAAGTTGAGCAATGTCTCCAGTCCCTGACCTGTATCTGGGGTGGCCCTGCCCCTCCACTCAGGGTGTGTCTCATCTTTTTTGTCCCCCACAGGGCCATGCCACTTCATTTTTTGGCCCCGCCTTGGAGCGTTACTCATCCTTTCAGGTCAATGGCAGTGATGACATTCGACAGATCCAGAGCCTGGAAAATGGTATCCTATTTCTCACCAAGAACAACCTCAAGTATATGGCCCGTGGGGGCCTCATTATATTTGATTACCTGTAAGTGGCTTCTCAGCTCTGGACTGGGAAAGAGAGTCCCTCCTAAAATGGGAAGTCTAAAGGATTGGAAACTTTTGAGACCTTGGTCCCTTAGCCTTTCCTTTCCCCTACAGGCTGGATGAGAGTGAGGATATGCACAGTCTCCTACTGACTGACAACAGCACTCTGCTTGTTGGTGGGCTGCAGAACCACATATTGGAAATTGACCTTAATACTGTCCAGGAGACTCAGAAGGTATAAGACTGGGGAAAGAAAGACCCAGGCAGGACCTGAGGTTTTTGGGGGGTCAGGGATATGCCCAGACTGGAAACATGACTAAGATGTATGTGCAGTCTTTCTGTTCCTTTGGTCTGTGGGAAGAATTATTCTCACTGGTTTTTCTGCTTTGTCCCCCAGTATGCAGTTGAGACGCCTGGAGTCACCATTATGAGACAGACAAATCGCTTCTTCTTCTGTGGCCACACATCTGGCAAGGTGGCTCGGTTCCATGTTTCCTCCTACCACATGGCCCTGTTTCATCAGACATGTGCTTGAGCTCTTTCTTTCCCTCAGTTCTGGGGCTATAGTTGGAGGCACAGGAGGAGTGATCCGAGTTCCTACTCAGCCACGTTATACTAGATTGTCTTTCAGGCTGATGCCTTCTATTGTAACTAGATACCTTTGAGGCAAGAGAGTAAACAAGAGTTCTCTTTGGAGTCCCTTCCAGCTCTTGGCCTCTCTTTTTGCCTGTTCTGTGCTTTAATTGCCCATATCCTAGAGCCTTAGTTCTTTTGGCAGGGGCCTCACAGGATTAGGTAGGTGGTGGGTACTTTTCCTGATAACAGTGTTGGCAGATAACTGAGTTATCTCTTCTTCAGGTTTCCCTGCGAGACCTCCGTTCTTTTAAGGTGGAGCATGAGTTTGATGCTTTCTCAGGAAGTCTGTCAGATTTTGATGTGCATGGCAACCTGCTGGCCGCCTGTGGCTTCTCCAGCCGCCTCACTGGCCTGGCCTGTGACCGTTTCCTCAAGGTGTATGATCTGCGCATGATGCGTGCCATCACACCACTTCAAGTACATGTGGATCCTGCCTTCTTGCGCTTCATCCCTACATATACTTCTCGACTTGCTATCATCTCCCAGTCAGGTAGGAAGGACTGTAGGAAGGGGTAGGAGGGGTTGATGACCAAAGGAGAAGTAGACACTAGGAGTATACTCCTAGGAACCTCTTTGTTGGAGGAAATAGTAAACTTCCAGTGGGCTATCAGGGTCTCACTTAGGTTTGGTCAGAGATTAGTGCTTTTATTTTCTCCCTGAGTGTGAAGAACACAGAAAAAGATAAAGGTGGAGCAGGCAGAATAACTTTACTGGGTAACAAAACTGCCTGTGGCTTATGGGAAGGCATCAGATGGTATTATTTGTATCTCTAGGCATGAATTTAGGCCCAGTCTTTCCCTGATATGAGAGAAAAGGAGTGTCATAATGCTTCCTCCTCTCTTCTAGGGCAGTGCCAGTTTTGTGAGCCCACAGGCCTGGCCAACCCAGCAGACATCTTTCATGTGAATCCTGTGGGGCCTCTGCTAATGACATTTGACGTATCAGCCAGCAAGCAGGCCCTGGCCTTTGGGGATTCTGAGGGCTGTGTACACCTCTGGACTGATTCCCCTGAGCCTTCCTTCAACCCTTACTCCCGTGAGACGGAGTTTGCTTTGCCCTGTCTCGTGGACTCACTGCCTCCTCTGGACTGGAGCCAGGACCTGCTGCCTCTTTCCCTCATCCCTGTCCCGCTCACCACTGACACACTTCTCTCTGACTGGCCTGCTGCCAACTCCGCTCCAGCTCCCAGGTTGTACCTTACATTTGGGTCAAAAGGAGGGAGGGGGAAAGGGCCAAGATACTAGGATTCTCTGTAAGCCCTGTAGTAGTCTACTTTCCTGATTTTTGTGTGCCTTCAGTACTTTCTTTTCTGGCTCCTTGGGGGTTGGGTATTAGATAGGCAGACACCACAAACTTCAAGCCCTAGAACTGTACTACATTATAGGCGAGCACCCCCTGTGGATGCAGAGATTCTACGCACCATGAAGAAGGTGGGCTTCATTGGCTATGCACCCAACCCCCGCACCAGGCTGCGCAATCAGGTATGTTCAGAGGTGAGAGGGTCAGCCCCCAGCCCAGCCCTCTGGGATTTCTCCTGTCTTGTTTCTTTACTAGTTCTCAGCATTTTTTGCTTTTAGTTAGTCAGTAAAGGATTTTTGAGGTCTAATGAATGAAAGGTACCATGGTAGGTGTTAGGGAGAATTCAGAGTAGAAGATAGAGTCTTTGCTATTAAGAAGTTTAGTATTTGGTTAGTGAAAATAAGACCTGTCTGTAACAAATTATTTGTTCTATTGTTAAATGCCAAAGGAATGTTATGAGCATTCACTGCCAGGGCTGTTTGGAGGGGAAATGTTACTCTGGGCCAGAGTGGTCAGGGAAGACATACTGAAAAAGGTGGATATTGAGCTGGTTAAAAATAGGTAAATAGAAAGTAACATGGAAGCATATTCAAGATGAGAGATCAGTGTTAGCAAAGGTCTCAAGAAGCATAACTGCAAAAGGTGTGTCTGACCGGGACTGTGATTGGACCAGTCTGGCTGGAGTGGTGGTGAGTACTGGGAAATAGTAAGACATTGAGGTTGGAAAGGGCCCGGTTGTGAAGCCTTAATACCAGTGTTTAGGGAGAGAAGTGACACACTGAAATAGGCATTTTGGGAGAGTTTGTTTGGTAGCAGGATGCCGAACAGAGTGTGTGTGGAGCCACGCGTGGAAGCCATCACAGTTGTTGAGCTGTGGTGTGGTAGGGTGATGGCAGTGGGAATAAAAAGGACGCGGTAGATGCTGAAACTTCAAGAAAGTAGAAGGTTCAGTGTTGGGATAAAGGTGGGGGGAAACCAAAGATAATTAAGACATCCAACAAAATTACCTCTTTTTAAAAATTCTAGATTCCTTATCGACTCAAGGAGTCAGACAGTGAATTTGACAGCTTCAGCCAGGTCACTGAGTCACCGATAGGGCGGGAAGAGGAGCTACATCTCCACATGGTCTCTAAGAAATACCGCAAGGTGCTGGGGGTTACCAAGGAAGGAGTCCTGTGGGATGTGGGGAAAGGTTCCCTGGGAAAAGGGGGTCATACTAGAAAGGATCGAAGGACTCAGTTGAGAAGTCTTCATCTACCACCTGGACTCAGGAGGGAGGTTTTGGGGAAGGTTATGACCACTGCAAAGGATTTAGGGGACTCTGAGGATACGTTCATTTTGCTCAGACTATTTCTGCCTCAGGTAACCATCAAATACTCCAAGCTAGGGCTGGAGGACTTTGACTTCAAACACTACAATAAGACCCTGTTTGCTGGATTAGAGCCCCACATCCCCAATGCCTACTGTAACTGCATGATCCAGGTAAGGATATTCCTGCAACCTGAACATGGCTACTGCCTTTCTTCTCTGTGGCCCCATACTCCCTGCTCTTTTTCCAGGTCTCTCCAACCAAGCCCACTTTGCCATGGCCTCCGCTACCATTCTTTCTTGCTTCACAGCCTTCAAGTCTCTTCTGTGTGCTCCATTCTTCAGTAGACTCCTGATTTGTATTCTTTATCAGCTCTCTTAACCATCCCATCTCTCTTCTCCATACTAGTTGCCTGTATCAGTTCTCCTGCTCTTCCCCCCCCCCCCCCCAGGTGCTCTATTTTCTGGAGCCCGTTCGCTGTCTTATCCAGAACCATCTTTGCCAGAAGGAGTTCTGTCTGGCATGTGAGCTGGGTTTCCTCTTCCACATGTTGGATCTTTCTCGAGGTGACCCTTGTCAGGTCAGTGTCTGGAGACCTGGGACAATAAAAGGGGAAGGGAGGTAGACAGTAGGCAGGGACACTGCTGTGCAAATGGCCACAAAAGAGAAAATTTCCCCATTCTACCAACACACTTCCTGGATTCCAGGGCAGTAATTTTCTTCGGGCATTCCGCACCATTCCTGAGGCCTCGGCCCTTGGTCTGATCCTGGCTGACTCAGATGAGGCTTCAGGCAAAGGCAATCTGGCCAGGCTTATTCAGAGGTGGAATCGCTTCATTCTCACTCAACTGCATCAGGATATGCAGGAGCTAGAAGTACCCCAGGCTTATCGAGGTGCTGGAGGCAGGTATGAAATCGGAACATGAATATTTAAAGCCACCATGACAGTCCCCTCTGTGACTTAGAAGGTGTCCTAACTGTCTCCATGTGCATGTATTGCCTTCCCTGCCCTTAGCAGCTTTTGTTCATCGGGGGACTCTGTCATTGGGCAGCTGTTCAGCTGTGAGATGGAGAATTGCAGCCTCTGCCGCTGCGGCAGTGAGACCGTGCGAGCCTCTTCCACCCTGCTCTTCACGCTCTCCTACCCCGAGGGTAGCAACAGTGGTATACCCTGCAGCTGGGTTGGGAAGGCTCCCTCACGTGTTCCATAACATCAAGGAGAGGGTGTTGGGAGGCTAATAATGGGTAGAAGGGAGAACCTAGAGTGAAGCATCCAGTTTCCCCTCAGATAAAACCGGGAAGAACTGTGACTTTGCTCAGGTGCTGAAGCGAAGCATCTGCCTGGAGCAGAATACACAGGCCTGGTGCGACAACTGCGAGAAGTACCAGCCCACGGTAAGTCCTCCCATGTTGGGGACTTGGTGTGGTTTCATCTGGGACTAGCTATGTCAGCACCACCATCCACAGATCTATAGGGAGTGGGAGGAACCTCAGTTTGAAAATGCAGGTCCAGGTTTTACTGTTCCCATCCACGTTTCTTTCCCATAGGCTCATTGCCATTCCTTGTTTGTTTTTTCCTCTCAGATTCAGACCCGCAACATCCGCCATCTGCCAGATATTCTTGTTATCAACTGTGAGGTGAACAGCTTGAAAGAAGCTGATTTCTGGAGAATGCAGGCTGAGGTAAGGACCAGGTCTGGAAGCAGGGTTTTAGGTGTACTTCTTAATTTTCTCTCCCTTCTCTGCTCAATATATGATTAATGTTCCTGGGCAATCAGATATTTTTTTCCTTTGTGTTCAGGTTGCCTTCAAGATGGCAATAAAAAAGCATGGTGGGGAAATCTCTAAGAATAAAGAGTTTGCTTTGGCTGATTGGTAGGTACTGTCTGGGGGGTTAGTCAAAGGATTGAGCTACCCAGTGGCTCCTCTGGTCACTGGCTAGATCTCAGAATGAATTTCTAATTCTCTTATCCTGATAGGAAGGAACTAGGGAGTCCAGAGGGCGTGGTGATGTGTTCCTCCATTGAGGAGTTGAAGAATGTCTGGCTTCCTTTCTCCATTCGCATGAAGATGACCAAGAATAAAGGGCTGGATGTTTGCAATTGGACTGATGGGGATGAGATACAGGTTGTTGAACAACTGGGAAGAGAAAGGGGAATAAGGGAGAGAAGGTTGGGGCAGAAGCAGGGCAAGGGGAAGATGGAACTTAGTATAGGGAAAAGGAAGGGAATAAAGCCAAGTTATTTACCAGTTGTGGGCTTTTCCAGAGTGACTCAGTTCAGTATTGAGTCATAGATGGGCTAGGATGGAGATAACCCACCCTGGTCCCCCATCCCCGTCCCCCAAACTCCCTATCCTCTATCCCCATTCCCCTTCCTTCCCCATCCTTAAACTTAGCTTAGCAGCCTGGGTACCCCCCTCACAGTGGGGCCCAGCCAGGGCAGAGGAGGAGCATGGTGTCTTTGTGTATGACCTGATGGCTACTGTGGTACACATCCTGGACTCACGCACAGGGGGCAGCCTGGTGGCTCACATCAAAGTCGGAGAGACCTACCACCAGCGCAAGGAGGTGAGTGAGATACTACAAGGCAGGGACACCCCTGGTGGTAGCCACAATGGAGTCCCAGGTCTGTCCTTATCTTGACTCTGAGTCAGAGTGGTCCAGCTATCACTTTATCATCTTTTTCTGTATTTCCACAGGGTGTTACCCACCAGCAGTGGTATCTCTTCAATGACTTTCTTATTGAACCTATTGATAAGGTTAGTTGTAACACATTCCATTCCCCCTTTCATCTCCCCTTTTCCTAGAATTCTCATCCTCAGTGCTCCAGAATGCCAGGTAGATTCAGGAGGGAGGGATGGGTTCTCAAGAATAAAAAGTGTTAGCAGAACTAAAAATAGCACCTGAGTTCTGTCTTTTGTCTGGCTTGGGAAAAAGGAAAAGGGGGCATCTATATATAGACCATGAAGTGCTTTTTCTTTTATAGCATGAAGCTGTGCAGTTTGACATGAATTGGAAAGTGCCTGCTATCCTTTATTACGTCAAAAGGAATCTTAATTCCAAATACAACCTGAACAGTAAGTGGTACAGAGTAGACAGAAGGGTGTGGCAGTTTAGATTGGTCTTTTGGAAGAGATCTTGTTAAGATTAGGACAGGTAGCCAGTGTTATTATTTCCAGGGGTGATACTAAAGAGATTCCTGTTTCATCAGGCTCTAAATTTAGAACCTGGAGATGCTGAGAGTGTAGAGGGGAAGAGGTGATGGGGGGAATCTGATCAAAAGGGCTAAGGTTTTGATTTTGAGTCTAATCATTCTTCCCAAGTGAAACTTTCTTCTTTTGCAGATGGACTTCTTATTAGGTCCCTTTTTGGTGCCTTTAAACCCATAGTTTCCCTGTAACTTTGTTTTTCTGGATTTTCTAAGCTAAAGTCCAAAAAAGTCAAAGTCTTATTCTTTCCTCTCTGCTTTTTTGTTTCTCTTAGCATATTTCTTAGTAGTTTTCTGATTTGACCTATTCCATCTGTCTGTTCAGACACAATCTTCTTATTCACATGCTTTGATTATTGAGAGATCACAGTGTAGACCCAGTCTCTGGTCAGCCATCCTGGGTTTCCCTCACCTGGTTACTTCCTTATCACTAGCCATCTGTCTTCTGGATTTTCCCTTCCAGTCAAGAACCCTATTGAGGCAAGTGTCCTGCTGGCTGAAGCCTCGCTAGCACGGAAGCAGCGGAAAACACATACTACCTTTATTCCACTGATGCTGAATGAGATGCCGCAGGTTGGGGACCTGGTGGGCCTGGATGCTGAGTTTGTCACTCTTAATGAGGTAACCAAGACCAAAAGGGTGTGGTGTTGGCACAGAACTCTGGAGATATTAGGCATCACAAGCTATTCTCTGATTTCCTTATCAACTCTTCTCCTGTAGGAGGAAGCAGAGTTACGCAGTGATGGCACCAAGTCTACCATCAAACCAAGCCAGATGTCAGTAGCAAGGATTACTTGTGTTCGAGGCCAGGGACCCAATGAGGGTATCCCCTTCATTGATGACTACATCTCTACCCAGGAGCAGGTACTAGGATATCTTGTACTAGGAGGTACAAGTGAGACAGACCTTATGCTTATGTAGAGTGCTCTAGAACCCAGGGAAGAGTAGCAGGGAGAGACTCTGCACCTCACTTCGTGAGCAACTTCTCCTTTTCTCTATGCCTAGGTGGTGGATTACTTGACTCAGTACTCGGGGATTAAGCCAGGAGACCTAGATGCCAAGATTTCCTCTAAGCACCTCACAACTCTCAAGTCTACCTACTTAAAGCTTCGTTTTCTTATAGACATTGGAGTCAAGTTTGTGGGTCATGGTCTGCAGAAGGACTTCCGGGTCATCAACCTCATGGTTCGGGCAGGGCTGTTTTTAAGAGTTTCCTTTGAATATGGGCCCTTTAGGGTATACATTATGCTTTTGGAGAATGAGAAGTTATGGATCACCTACCTTCAGTCTCCCACTCTTTTATCTCTGCCAGGTGCCCAAGGACCAAGTCCTTGACACTGTCTATCTCTTTCATATGCCCCGAAAACGAATGATTTCCCTGCGGTTCCTTGCTTGGTACTTCCTAGGTGAGTTGGTGTACCTTGTAGGCCCTTATGGTGCTCATTAAGAGCAGGAAAAAGTGTTGGAATGAAGGGAGTAGGGAGGACCCTTAGTGGTGAGAGTTATGAATGGATTTAAGTAACTTCAGTATCCCGCTGCACTAGGAATGGCGTTTGGCTTTTTCCCTTACGGGTAGTCAAGTTTTTTTTTATTGGTTATTGGGAGTAGGGGATGTGAGTATGGGACATATTCTTACCTTCCTTTGCTAGGTTCCAAACCATTCCACCTCTAATTCCCTCAGACCTGAAGATTCAAGGGGAAACCCATGACAGTATTGAGGATGCCCGTACAGCCCTTCAGCTCTACCGAAAGTATCTGGAGCTAAGCAAAAATGGCACGGAGCCTGAATCCTTCCACAAAGTGCTCAAGGGTCTTTATGAGAAGGGCCGAAAGATGGACTGGAAGGTTCCTGAGCCTGAGGGTCAGACGAGTCCCAAGAGTAAGGCCTGGGATGGGACAAGGGAGAGTGGACAGGGTGGGTTTTGATTGCATATGTGAAGATTATACTCATGATAATAATAATGATGATGGTGATGTTAACAATTGTACCAACTCTACCTTACATTTGTAAAGCACTCAGTGGTTTACAAAGCATTTAATCCTCCCAACATTCAGTGAAATAGATTGTGTTCTTGAAAGTCTGCACTGATCCTAACCTCCTCCTGCCTAATTCTAAAATGTTTGGGGCAGGTTTGCCCTCTTTTCCTTCATAAGAAGTATTCCAGGCACTTTTTCTCCACTCACCTTAAGAGTCAATGCTCTTGATTTTGTCTCTGACAGATGCAGCTGTCTTCTCCTCAGTGTTGGCGCTCTGACCTCATCCTCTCCCAGTGAACTACTCCTCTACCCTCAGTGTTCTATGCCCCAGAACTGGGAGATGGTTTCCCAAGTTGGCTAGTCCTCGCCCGCTTCCAGAATTGGACCTGCTCAGGGTCTACAGATGGTGCTATTAATAGAACTGGAATGCAGCAGAGTTGCTGTAAAGGGAAGAGGTGCCAGATTCCTTTTTCATTCTTTGCAAAATAGCGGGCCAGGAACAGAGTCTAGAATTGACCCAAATGGAAAGAAATTGATATTCTCAATAAATATCCTGGGTAATTAATATCCAGGCAAAAAAACGCTCCTGGAACCAGTACTCTCAGTTCCCAGTTGGCTAAGGACTGAAGTCCTGGTTAGTGATAGGATACAACAGTAGCTCAAGAGAGCTCAAGTCTCTGACTGCTTGAGAGATGCCTGGATGGACCAGGACATCGAATATTGGTGGCCCTAGGAAACCAGTATTGCCAACACCATCATTGCCAAAAGGGCCTTTGGGTCCTAGACACAGCTTGACTGCTGTCTTCACTCCTGCTGACAGCTGAGAAGCATCTGTCTTCCATCCACTCTCCTGTCCCAAGTTTTGTTATTTTTTAAAGTTTTGTTTTAAAATGCATGTTTTATAAAATAAAATAAAAAAAGTATTACTGGCTTGTCATCTATGTCACTAGAGACCTGCAAGTGTGGGATGCTCTGACTTAAGCTCTCCTCTCCTTTCTTTGTGTTGGCTTTATATAACAACTGGAAAAAAAACAAGCGTTCAAATTTCCACCTAGAAATGAAGGTGAAGCTCTGGAGTCCAAAGTTAAGGTTATTGGAGGAATATAGTTATGTCTTTGCTGGACAGTTATTTTTAGCTCTTTGCTATGGCTGCCTACTACCTTAAGACCAGATTCTTTTAAGATGCACAGTATGGTTTCCTCGGAAAAGGAAAGTTGGGGAAACTGACAAACTGCAGGTCTTAGGTTATCTGAAGACTTGTAGCTACTAACAAGATCTGTGAAGTGCTGCGGTGCTTCCTGGGAGATGTAGTTTGCGGGGTATTGAAACCAGGGCTTCTCACAGGCTAGCAGGGTACCTTTCTTTTGGAAGGTCCTAGCCCACCTAGACTGGCACACCCACGTGCCTCTGACCGCGTCCTTATGCCAAACGGCTCTGTCCTTGCTTCAGGCCACTCCTATTCTTCGGCTGACCCCTGGTGGTCACGTGGAGCTGCTCGCCACGCAAGTCTGGGTCCTTCTGCGATCCACCGGGGTCCTCGCAGCCTGGAAGCCGCTCCGGAGCTGCCTGTTCGCGCGAGAGTTTGGAGGGGCGGGTTTGGGGTCGGTCTCCCGTGTAGGGCTCGCACGGCAGCGCTTCGGCGCCGTGCGTAGACGGCCGCTTAGAGTGCGGGGAGCTGGGTCAGGCAGTCGCTGGGTCACCCTTGCCTGGAAAGTGGCGGAGCGCTCTGGAGAAGCCTGGACAGCCTCGCTCCCCCGCAGCCAGGTGCTACGGTCGGGAGTAAAGTGAGAGTCCGGCCGTCTTCGAGCGCCTGGGCCACGGCGGCGGCCCTGGGAGCAGAGGTGGGACGGATGCGAGTGGCACTGAGGGTCTGGAATGGACTGGAGCGAAGGCAATGGCGGCGTCCTCAGAAAGGGGGCTGGTCCGCACGGGAAAGCTATAGGCTGGAGGTGGGGATGCAGTAATCGAAGGTGGTGGGTCCAAATAGGCCCCAGGTATAGAGTGTTCTTCTGCCCACCACCTTTCTGCCTCCTGGCCTGAATCAGCTGCTTGCCTTGCCGGCAGCTTCTCTGTGCCTTCCGTCCTCACTTAATCGCCAACCTCCGTTCCGCAGCTGCCACATAGCCCTGTGAGCCCTAGGCAGCCAACGCTTAAGTACCAACATCTGGGGCCTCACCTGTCGACGTAGTGTCTGGGACTGAGCCCCAAGTCCCTCGCTCGCGCTCTCACTCACCGCGGGGGGGCGGGGGGGGGAAGGTTGGGGGCGGAATCCGGGTCCTCAAGCGCTGGAACAGAGGAGCTCCTTTGTGTCCTGGCCATTTCCTGAAAAGTAGAGCCAGAGTCACACTGAAGCCTTTGTAGGGTGGGGTGGGGGTAATGGAGCCGAATTCTCACACCTATGCTCTTATTCCACCCTTAACTCAGGTGGAGCAACCCCATTACTCTAAAGATGAAAGGCTGGGGTTGGCTGGCCCTGCTTCTGGGGGCCCTGCTGGGAACTGCCTGGGCTCGGAGGAGCCAGGATCTACATTGTGGAGGTAAGAGCACAAAGAGAAATGAGAGAAAGGAGGGTGGGGAAGACAGAGCCTTGGGAGAGCATGAGATACAGGGTCTGGGAGAAGAATGAATGGAAATCCCTGGGTTGATTTCCTTTCTCCCCTTCTTCCTCCTTCCTCTCCCCTCACACCAGCTTGCAGGGCTCTGGTGGATGAACTAGAGTGGGAAATCGCCCAGGTGGATCCCAAGAAGACCATTCAGATGGGCTCTTTCCGAATCAATCCAGATGGCAGCCAGTCAGTGGTGGAGGTAACTGTTACTGTTCCCCCAAATAAAGTAGCTCACTCTGAATTTGAATGAGAACTCAACTGATTAAGAAGGACCTTGGTTTAATAGATATTGACCCAGAAAGGTATCTAAAATATTGGGCTATCACATTTGTAAGAGGCTGGAGGCTTATACCCTATGCGCTTCCTGGCTCCAAACCTTAATATTATTTCTGCTGTAGTTATTAGTAGACAGGGAACCCTGATCAGCCCCCTCCTCCACATCCGTAATTCATGTCACTCATGTTTTCACTATGGCATAATTATATACATACAAAAGAGAAAAAGAAGGCCATATCCCTGTATGTAGGAAATTTATACTTTAGTAGAAAACATAACATATACGCAAAGCTATATCTAGTGGAGAGTATACAAAGAAAAGTTAAGGTTATGATGTTTGTGAGATGCTTTATAATTATTATCCTCAAAGCCTACACTGCCTCTCTTATGCTCCTGTTGAGGACAGGTATTAATCTCATTTAATACAAATAAATAAAATCATTACCTTACACCCATAAGAATTAAGGGAGTTCAAAGGAAAGGAACACATAGTTAACTAGGATTTATCAAAGAGGTCTCTGTTTATCTATAATTTGGAGGTAATGACACCTGTTTTATTTCTTAGAAATGTGAAGTGAGGTAAAATAAGATCATATATTTGAAAGCACTTTGGAACCATACGAATAAACTGTACTGTTTTTAATTAGGGAGGGCTTTTTCGAATAAGTTAGTTGAACTAGATTTGGAAGGAAGAGTAAGGATATAAATTACTAATGTACAGAGGTGGAAGAATATGAACCAAGGCTGAGGACATTTCTAGGTGCCTTATGCTCGCTCAGAGGCCCACCTCACAGAGCTGCTAGAGGAGGTATGTGACCGGATGAAGGAGTATGGGGAACAAATTGACCCTTCCACCCACCGCAAGAACTACGTACGTGTAGTGGGCCGGAATGGAGAATCCAATGAACTGGACCTACAGGGCATCCGAATTGATTCAGACATCAGTGGCACTCTCAAGTTTGCGGTGAGCTTTGGGAATGGGTAGCTGGTTTTTGAAAATTAGGGGAGTTATGGGACAGCCCAAGTGGAAAGCTATGTTAATGTCCTTCTCCTCTCTGGAGGTGGAGGCAAGAGGCCTCTTCTTGCTGCCCTCTCTCATTCATTTCTCCCTTGGGTTGGCAGTGTGAGAGCATTGTGGAGGAATATGAGGATGAACTCATTGAATTCTTTTCCCGAGAGGCTGACAATGTTAAAGACAAACTTTGTAGTAAGCGAACAGGTAAACTACTCCCACTGTACTGCCTGTCCTCACAGCCCGTTAGAACCTGGCACATTCCTTAGCATGTTCCTCTTCCTCCTATCCCCCATCCTCTGATAATAGCTCAAGAATTAACTTCCATTACCTATGACTTAGAGACTTGGGTTGTTCCTCTCTATTCTCTTTCTGTCAGCTTTCAGAATTTGTGGCTCCCTCACCTGAGATCCTAGTGAAAGGATAGTGGGAATGTTTTGTCATCTAAAAGGATATGCTCTAAAAAATGGTGGTTGGTGTGTGTGCCAGTTTGGTTTGGGGCATTTTCTTGATAGTGACATATATCAGTATGAGAGTGGCATTTTCCTTCAAACTTTTATGTGCTATTTGCAGATCTATGTGACCATGCCCTGCACATATCGCATGATGAGCTGTGAACCACTGGAGCGGCCCAGACTGACAGGCTTGATGGATCACCCCCAGGAGGGGAAGAGGGTGGCAATGCCTTTTATATTATGTTTTTATTGAAATGAACTGAAAAATTGTGAAACCAAAAGTATGAACTGTGTTGTCTTTTCATATCCAGAATCAACCCTTACATTAAGCTTGAAGATAGGGGATTCCAGACAGGAAAGAAAAGGGAAGGAAGTGCTTTGGAAATGGTGTAGCATGAAGGTAGGAGGAGCCTGAGGCTTTCATTCTTTTGCCATCTGAGATTCCTGCTGGACTCAAAACTAGATAAGCATTTTTTCGGTGCCTACTCAATACCATGTGTTTAGAGTCTAATTGTGGAGAGAAGAGGAGCCTCTGTGAATAAGCAAGGGAACATAGGTAAGTGTGTGGTAGTATGGGATTCTAAAAATGACTTGTATTTATACTGATGAAACATAAAGTTTAAGACAGCTTGGTCTTGAAGGAAATCATGGATATGCATTATTCTTCCCTCCCTGCCCTTCCAGATGGAGGGATCAGCAATAGCAGAGAGGAAGTGGAAATAGATGGGGTCAACTCATCTGAAAAGTAAAGGCTTTATAAGATAGGGAGAGATGAGGTAAGGGATGTTATTTAATGAAGGCCCTTGCTTGCTGGTCTAAGCTTTTAGATTTGAACCTGTAGCACTAAAGTATACCTTTTTCATCTCCATCTGTCAGTCTGGACTGTAAGTCTGTCCCCACTTTCTATGTGTAGAGATTCTTTACTGGGCATAGGGATGGAAACCTAAAGGATACCTTCTTTGAGGAGCTTCTTAAACACCTTGATCCAGAGGTATGTCTATCTCAGGGTTTGGAATGGAATACTTCTATCCCAGGAATACCTCAGGGAAAGAATAACTGAATAAACATTTTGAAGACTTTTTAAATTAAGCATTTTAGAATCTAAAGGGAACTTGGAGGTCATATAGTTCATCTCTGCCCATTTTACAGATGAAGAAACTGAGGCCTAGAGATACCACAGGTCCTGAAGGTCTGTATTTAGTGGCAAAATTGGATCAAGAGGCTAATGTTCCGTACTGTCAATATGATCTAATATAGCTGTAAAGTAGCTTCTGTTTTAAGTCTTTTTTTTCTCTTAATACCCTGTACACACAAAGCGAATGTGTTCAACAAGGCTTTCATGTCACAAATCCCTGAGAAATCTAACACATGAACTAGTTCAGAGCAAGTATCCTGATATTAGTTGACAACTCAGGTTCTAGTGTTAATTCCTTCTTCTCTCATCAGCCATAAGAAATGCGGTATCCTGTCAAGTCTGTTTTCCAGACCAGCTGTTACTATTTTTTCTTCTGTGATGCACATGAATAATGTTCACATTCTTCATACCCCTGTGAGTATACCCAGGATTCTGTCCATTGCCTGCTTCCTGTCTAAAAACTTAACTCTTCCATCAGAGAGCTTATCACAAGTGCGGAAGTACTCTATAGGGAACTCAAAATTGTTTTAATGTACAAAATAGCAAATAATTCACAAGCTTTAATAAAGTAATGTTAGTTGGTAATAAATTACTTGTGATACACCTCACTAGTCTGTCAAGGTACAGCTGTTAAGAACTCTCCAGCTCAACAGTCTTTGCCATTGCTACACAGGGGTGTGTCCTACATAGGGAAGAGTGGACATTATCCTCCTTGACTTGATCCTCAGAAGGTTAGGAGGATACTCTTTGCACATCTCTTTATTCATGTCATGAGTTACCACAAGGAATCCATGAATTTATCTGAATGTTTCTGGAGGCTCCCTACAACAAATGATTCTAGCCCAGTATTTTGGTAGATCAAATGCTAACCTTGCATATCTGGTTACACCTTAAGCTCTAGATGCCTTCTAAATGAGTTTATCAGTAAAATGTTAGAACTGAAAGAAACATTCTCGAATACAGTGTTCAATAATATCTGGATGTGAGTAGGAGATTTATCATGTGAAAACCCAGTCCTTTAAAAATAAATTTTAGAGGGGCTCTTGGGTGGCTCAGTCGGTTAAGCGTCCGACTTTGGCTCAGGTCACGATCTCACGGTTCGTGAGTTCGAGCCCCGCGTCGGGCTCTGTGCTGACAGCTCAGAGCCTGGAGCCTGCTTCGGATTCTATGTCTCCCTCTCTCTCTGACCCTCCCCCGTTCATGCTCTGTCTCTCTCTGTCTCAAAAATAAATAAACATTAAAAAAAAATTAAAAAATAAATTTTAGAGAATTTTTATGCTGTTAAAAAGGATTCAGAGCAAGGACAAGAATCCTTTAAATACAGGACAGGGATGAATAGCAAGGGCAAAGGAACTAGTTTATGTTGAATACTCCTATAACAAGCACATACACCTTACTTAATCTCTACAATTCTAAGAAATAGATGTTGCTCCCATTTTTACAGATGAAGAAACTAAGTTCAAAGAGATTGTGTCTTAGGGAATCAAGACTTCAACCTTAGCAATTGTCTTATCCCTAGGCCAATGGGTCTTTCTATCTCATTCCTATAGTGGAGTCTCCATGTAGTTCCTAGTGGCTGTGTACACTAGTACTTTTGCTCGAAAACTACCGTGCCCTCTGACTCTAATAATCAATAATGAAAAAGCACTGGGCGGGGGGGAGGGAGTGAAAAAGCATTATATCCTCCTTTCAGACTGATTATATTTTTCCAGACTGATTGTAATAAGAAACCCATTCTACCCCACCAGTCATTTTAGGTGTTAAGTGTTTGTCTCTCCTACCTTTATATATTCTGGGAGGGTCACCAATTTATCATGTATTTCAGGTATGGATGTACAAACATTTTATAGTTGAGTAAGATTATTCCTTATTTTAGAAAATATTTAAAATACAGAACACACTGAGTTGATGTGCCCAGAAGACCATTAACAGTGATTCAGAAGTCCCCTTCCTGAGTTACAGCTGATAATTCATAGTCATCACCATATAAACAGTACAGTTTAGTAGTTAAGGTACAGCTTCTGGGCAATTACAAGCTATGGTCCTGAGCAGAATACTTTATCTAAACCTTGGTTTCCCCCTCTGTATACTAACTAATGTTAGAGATACTAACATTACCTACATCCTTTAGAGTTTTTGTGAGGATTAATTAAGATAGTGCATGTACCACATTTAGATAGTACCTGGAAATTATGAGTATTTAATAAATTTTAGTTACCCATTAAATACAGGAGTTTGATCTACTGATGCAGGCCTTTTCAGTTGAAGCCTAGGCTGCATTTTCCCACTTACCCTTAGCCACCAGGGGGCACCATCACCTCTGTCCATTTTAAAGAGGTCCTCCCAAGGTCAAGATGACCTCAGTGCGCAGCCTTCTCTCCACTGCCCCACTAGTTCTCAGGCACTTAGTTGTATTTAGACCTAAAGCTCATTTGGCTGCTTTATTCATGCCAATCCTCCCTTAACTTTCTTCTCTCCTCCCCAGGTCCCGTTCACGTTTAGGAAGAGATTCTAAGCTAGCTTCTGGGAGATCACATTTAGTCCTGATCCCTGGGCTTTCTCACTGGCGTTATAGGACTGGATGTCAGGACTAAACAACTTCAAAACAAGTCCATAAAGTAGTCATAACACTAGGCTCCAGGACATGGTGTCAAGAGGCTTAGAGCTTTGCTGTTTCCCACCCTCCCGCCGGTGACTAGAGCTCCAAAATAGGTTACCCTTATGGCCACTCAATAATTACTCTTTGGTAGCCTCACCCTGAAAATGCCTCTTGTATTTTGGGGTACTGGAGTTCAGACCTCTGGTTAGTCTCTGTGGATAATTAACCAGAGAGCAGAAACCAGGCCAGACTATTCTAGGGTTAGGAGGAAATCCTCTGTGAGATGCTAAATTGGGAGCAAATATTGATCATTGGAGCTTTGAAGTCACCGAGAAGGTAGTTGAGGTCAGTGTTCCTTTGGGGCACTGCTTGGCTTCTCTTCATGTAGTTCTTTCCTAAGACCTACCAATCTGATTTCCGAATCAGAGGAGTGTTGGTTGGTAAGTTATGAAGCTAGGTACAAGGAAAATTGGGAAGAGAAAATGGTGGTTTCTCCTTCTCTTTCCCCAAGTCCAAGCTATAAACTAGTTTCTTTATAAAGTAGGTCTAAACCTGGTTTGATGGTACTGAGACTTCTGAACCTTGTTATTGCTATGTGAGGAGATAAAAGGACTATTCATTTGGAGCTTGGGGTTTGTAGATTAGGTGTCCTGGTCCTTGGGTCACTTTCCCTCTGCACCTAGGTCAATGACAGTGATGGGTTTAGGAGGTAGAAAGGTCCTGAGGTCTTGTCTACCTAGATGAGTTAGTGAAAAGCAATGTAGAAGATCAATTTAGTACTGAGGTTCATTTAATGGTCTCTGGGAAGCATGGGATAAGTGTATACAAGACAGCCATGTAGGAGAAGGGGTCCAGAGGCTCTATGGGAGTGATGGAGTGAAGGAAGCAATGTGACAAATAGGGAGGATGCTTAATGCCTAATTTTGGATGAGGGGCTAGTCTGCAGCTTTTGATCTTATGGCTAGATGTGGGGTGGGCTGCCTGCCTGGGGTTATGTGATTGGAATGGCAGTGGGACTAATGCCCAGGGCCCAGAGGTTTTGGCCTGTGCTGGAAGCCTTCCTTTTTTTTTTTTTTTTTTTTTTTTTAAGATTTTATTTATGTTAGTAATGTCTATACCCAATGTGGGGCTCGAACCTATAACCCTGAGATCAAGAGTGGCGTGCTTCACCAACTGAGCCTGGCACCCTTGGAAGCCTTCATATTATGGGGGCATCTGTAAGGTTTGGATTTCCTGGCACCAGACGCAGAACTGACAGCCCATAAATACACTGGATATATTCAGGCTCCTGCCTTTGCTTTCCCTCTTCATATATTGGGGTCTTTTACTATCTGTAATACTATGGCCTCTGCTGACCTCAAATGGTCATCAAGCAGCTAACTCTGGCATCATAGCCTCTGTCCACATGACGGCACCTCTATGGCCATTAAGTCATTGACCAAAGACATTCTTTAAGAAAGTATGCCAGTGGGGTAGGAGGTGCCGGCAATGATCAGTAGCTGTGATAGTAT